TGCTGAACCCTCCAAACAACAGCCATGTAGTCACTCTCAGCACGAGCTACCTCATCTTAGGATGTAAAAAAGCATCCACTCTTATTTACCTAAACTACTCTCTTAAAGTAATTAGCATGCTAAACATGTGCCAAGCTAAGAAGCATACTGTCAGTATCTACCGACTTACTAGACCAAACAAAAAGCTAGCCAGAATGCAAGCAGCATCCCATGCTAAAGCCTCTTGAACTACCTTAATTTTGCAAGCAGCACACTATACACTCCTGTTGAAAAGCATCATGAGTTCACACTGCACTTACCAATCTTTAGCCCAGTCACTAGACCCTATCCATTCACTGAACTGTGCAGCGTCAGCCATATTTTTACTGCCTGCTTTAGCCTCCCACCCTCTCATATGCAGTTCATTTACCAGGTACAAGACTGATTTGTTAACAAAACCCCTAATTACAGGCTCCACTGGGTGGACCTTAGGTTTCCAGCCACTCTCCTCTGCCAACTCTGTGGCCTTTGTGGGACATTTTCATTGTGCCCTCCCATCCATCTCACTGCGCTCTTCTGACCACAACAGAGATAAGTGGTAGTTCACCCTGCATCCATTGTGGTAGCTATTTCTTGAGGGGACTGTCATATGCTTTAGCTGTCCTGCATTATTCCTGTTGCAAGTTGCTTGATTCCTGACTTGTTCAGTCTCACAGGCAAACAAAATCTCGCCTTGTTGTCTTTTTGGAGCCATTGTTCCTCTTTGTGAGGCTATTCACTGTCTAGTTTTGATTTCACATTCTCTGAACTCTTGCAATGGTAACACATACTGCTAATTAGTATTCAAATGAATTTGACTTGCTGTGTGACTGCTTTGTAATTGTGCCTTAGTTCATTTAAATTCTGAGTCCCTGTTCACATGGGATTTGCAGCATTTCTACAAGCTGGAGTTCACCATATGATAAGCTGCAGTGAAGCGTATGTGTCTGTTTCTGATGTTTTAGCTGTGAAACCTGTTTTTGGCAATTAAAGTAGAAGTTTACAGTGTGTGATTTCATTGCACACCGACACTGTGGGCATATACTTTGTAATATCTTTTCTCTGGATTATTGCTGGAGTCTTATCTTCACCATTCAGTAAGTTTACATGTCAAAATACAGTTTATGTTTATTTTGATATTTTAAAAGTTGTAAAAGATGATTTTGTTGTCATTTTGGGACAGAGGAAACAACTTTTTAATGCTTATTGATATATCACCTGTGAATCTGTCATTTACTGTTTTGGGTATGAAACCAGTTTTTGACCATGAAGATGTACAGTAACATCTTTTCATTACACCTGTATCTGTTTCTCATGCTTCTGCAGGGTTGTTACTAAAAATAATACAAACTTGTAACTTGAAAGCTGACATACCTGTAAGGCGGTGAATGCATGAATGTAAAGAATGTACTTGCTCTGATTTCATGCGTGGTAGAAGTGTGCACTGTTTGAAATTTCTGTATCTAAGACTTTGTCATTTTGATCTAATTTGTCTCATTAAGAAAGGTCACAGGCCTTTTATTCCTTCCAAGGGGTGCGCTCTACACTTGGAATATTGAGTCTCTTATTACATGAATTTCCACGACTTGAAGTGTCAGGCATGTGACTGAGATATATACAGCTTCACAAAATCTTGGGCTGATTTAATCAGTGTTTCGTTTTGCATTTCAATGGCACATTATTATTTTCTTTCAATATCAATGGGATCCTTCTTGAATACCATTTTTAAATTATCTACTTAGACTAAAAATGGGATGAGAGCCAATTTGCATCTCTTTTTTATAATTAGAAGAGAGCAACAAAGACTCTTTAATATAAAGATCATGAGGCTCACGTTTTTTGTTTAATATATAATACTTAATATAATAAAAGGATATTAAGTATGTAAATAGGAACCCGATTCAACATAATTTTGATAAAAGCATGAACCAATACCAACTGACTGTAGACATCTTTTGTATTCTTGTGCTTTTTCCCATTTGAACAGAGAGCACGGTGTAGAAAACTTAATGTAAGGAATAGAAATGCCCTCCAGTGACCTCATTTGCTCCCATTTTCAAAGCTCAAACGAAACAGAGTAAAGAATTCATGCATAATTAGCTGCAGCAGTGACAGTGCTGGTAAAAATTATTATTTTTTCTCCTTTATCATATTCGGTAAATAAATGCTTTGCTTGCAAAGCTTGAATAAAATATGGTGATTATGTCACTTGGGTAAGAGTGTGGGTGTTTATTTTATATCAGAATGAAGCTTTTTTCCCCCCTCTGGCTTCCTCTGGTTGTAAATTCACAGTTTAACCACTCAGTAAACTTACATGAACAAAACACTGCTTTAGCTAATTTGCATAGTTTTAAAACATACAATAACAGATGTTTTGTCACTTGGAGACAGTGGAAACAATTTGTGAATGCCACATTTACAATCGATACAGTGAACTTGTTGGCAAACAGTTGCTTATTTACACATCTAGAAATTACAGAGAAACACTATGATTTATTTGGACTCATGTTCATGGGCGGAGCAAAGGGGGTTGCCAGGGGTGGCAGTGGGCACCCCGGAAACTGATTGTCCGCCCCTGCCAGAGTCAAAATGTGATGTTTGTCTGTATTCATGAATGAAAAATGAAAAACAAGGACAAAATGCCACCTTATAAAGGACAATTTTTTGGTGCTTTATAATTGATATTGGTCAAATTACTTTTATTTCCCATCACGCATGCATCATCATATTTGGATTCATTTCTCAGATCACGTTGTTGTGCTTGGCCTGATTTGCCTCAGTGGGGGGGGGCAGCAATATCCCCAGCCAGGAATAAAAAAGGAGCACAGCCAAAGTTAGCTAAAGAAAACACTGTGTGTGTTGTGTCTCATTTTTATACGAACAATTTGATTTTTAATAATGTATGGTTTATTATTTGATAAAACTAGGAGTTTAATTTACTTTTTACATGTATTTCAAATGTGCCACCCTGTCTGAGTCTGTGCCCCAGCCTGGCCACCCCGTCCAAAATGTTCTTGTTTCTTTCTTTCTATTCTTTTGTTTCTGTCCACCTGACAAATGCAAACCCAGTAGTCATTCTCTTTTAGCTCATTATATGGCTCTTTACAGTAGGTTCTACATTCTCCACTATGTTCACTGCTAAGTGTGTCTGTGTCTTTGGAGTAAATAAGAAAGTGAATAAGTGTATTTTCCAAAATGCCAAACTGTTCCTCTAAGGGCTGTGTTGATTTTTTTATTTGTGTGGTGTCAAGGCCAGGTACGACCTTTAGTTTTACCTGGTACAAAATGTACACTTGCCAAAAGAATGAATTCTTTCATATTAAAAAAAGACCTGCCACACACACAGAATGATAAATCCTGAGGCGCTGCTGATAGATCGCACCTAATAATGAACCGTGCAAAGAGTCATAAAACACAGCTCACAGCTCTGCTTCTCCTTACAGGAGAGGGAGGCTTCATATCAACAGTATGCTCTGAAGCTATATTCATGCTGCCGCTCTGCAGGAGAATTATTTATCTCTTGCTCTATTCCTGGGAGGATACTGTTGACAGCATCTCATCTCACTGTCTGAGTACCACTGGCTTCCATTAGGGCCAGCGACTGCAGTGTGATGTCTTTGTCACCGGTTGCACTGCATTTAAAAGCTTTGAAATCAGGAGTAATACTGAGGCAAAGAAAGAAAACATTTATTGTTTATGAATGTGGTGTCACACAGGTCCTGTCAGAAAAGAACAGGGAGGTGAGGTCTTGGTTTGAGGTCTCTGAAGTAATCCTGCCTCCCCTCTTCCCTTTCAACAGGCAGCTGGACTTTGGAGTTGTTACCATCAAGAACAATCAGCACATTCGTGGGAAAGCAATACATTGCAGTTGCAAAAGACAGTCTAACATTCCACATGACAACTAGGTTTTACATTTGTGATTCCCACTGTAGTTCATACTGTTATAAAAATGTACAGAGTAACATTTTTGTGTCTCAGTGCAAAATATATATTCCAAAAGAATTTCAGAAAAGCCGTGCCCTTGGTAAATGTTCCCCCATTTCTCCCCCTGATCTGTGCCCCAACAGTAAAATGGTCTCTTTACAAGACCACCAATAAATACCCAACAGAAGCAGTTTTACAGTCACCGTCAGATAGCAGCAGTGTTTCAGCTTTGATTTTAAATACATATTCACAAACAACAGCTCACTGTACACCCACAATTAATCAGAACAACTAACTATAGATAATATTACAGTTGTCTTCGTAGTAATTACCATAACAATAACAACAGAAAAAAAAGATCCAATTTGTCACATCTGCATTAAAGTATTTACACTGCTTTTTCAAGTTCTGTGGCTTAATTTCCCATGTGTGAATTTCCCCAAGTAAAAGAAGGCAATGAAGTGTCTCTAAGGTAAAAGGCTGCAGCTGGGGAGTGTATCAGCTGGTACAAATACTGTTGATGGAGATGATAGCCGGGTCCACCAGACCCAGCTCCTCGTGCTCGTTCACACACAGCTGATAGCCACAGCCCCGCCTACGCTTCAGCGGGGTCACCTTGGCGTCAGGCTTGGCACGTGGCGGCAGGAGGAAACCCACACTCCCTGCAATCAGCATGTGCCAGATGCTGTGGATGTAGAAGTAGTTCTCCTCCGTCTCCACGAAGGCATAAAGGGCCACAGCAGATGTGGCGATCATGGTGCCCGGGAAGAGGAAGAACACCCAGCGCTTCCAGGTGGGCGGGTAGCAACGCCGCCGGCGGATGGTGCGCACCGTCTGGCAACACAAATAAAAAATATTGTTTTCATTTTCACCATTTAGACATAATTTTAAAATAGCAAACTGTACTCTGTGCCTGTGGTAATGCTTAGCTTTACAAATCCCTTAATTTTTTCCTTTTAAATATTGAATTTTACATTTTTTTTAAGAAATGTACTAAAAAATTATAGTTACAATTTCAACTAAGAGAAAAATAAAACATGTTTTATAGTTTATATTTTTTTAGAACTGATCTCAAAGGCCCCCTGTTTAATGTTCTTATAGTACTTCCATAATTTAATGAGCATATTTCATGTAGAAACAGGATATTGGAGTGGGAGATCACGCAGGGAGCAGTCAGTCAAAAATAGACACCAAAAGAATTTCAGTGAGGGAGCAGCAGGCAGTTTACCCTTCATAAATCTCCACTGGATTTATTTTGTGAAATCTGTAGTCATACCTACTGTTGCAGTCCAACACAGTGATCATAATCAGCTGGTAGATGCTTAGAATTGGTCATCTGCCACCGCTTTAGCAGTTTTAGGTGATATTTATGCTCATGTTCTATTTGGCAGTAACAGGATATGATGCTTTAATCCAGAGAATGTGCTCATTCTTTCTGGGAATGGCCCAGAATTGCTGAAAGTGTGGCACAGAGACATTTCATTTAATTTCTGTCTAAACAGCATTAGAGGGTGTTTCATAATTACAGTGTATGCACTCTCTATTTTAATTTGTTCATAAACACTGATTGCTTGCATCGTATTTTTCCCTATACCATCAAGGGAAACATAAACCTTTCATGAAAGACAAAAAAATAATTACATGAATTCAAGCAGGAAAATGGCTCTGAATGACTTATTGCATTGTATATGTTTTAGGTTAAATACTAAAATAAATTGTATGTGAAGCCAAGTAAAGAAAAACATGGCGTTTTAACTATTCCAGTCCCTTTAGAACTGCATATTTGTCTGGTGAAGACAAACTATTTCAGATCAAGATGAACAGTTCATGCATAAGTCAGGGACCTCATTTAGTTTGGAGAATTAGGAGTGTTTGGCACTGACATATTTGAACTTCTCCCCTTCTTCTTACCGCTCATGACACCCCTGCAAAGCAGCAGGCGCTCTGTGCCCTGCGCTTCACTGATCTAATTTGATTGTGTCTGGGAACATTCAGAATGTCAGGCTTTGCAGAAACATGACAAGTTGAAATGAAAGGGCTCTTGTAGAAAATGTGTGGCGCTCAAAACTCAGAGGTGCAGCACAGAGGAGAGAACGCGGAAACGCAGACATACGCTATTGAACAGCTGATAAATTCTGAAGTGTCAAGCAATCAAAAGCACGAGCTCAGGTTTATCTCTAAAAAAAAATGCAACATTAGCATGAGATCCAGTGACTGTTTATGGAAAAGTTGCTGTGTGGAGTTTCCTAGCGCGGCTTGTTGTGTGTGGTTCATCACCAAGGGAAGATCAGAGATCATGTTTCTGTCAGTCATTCTGACATTGCACTGCATATACTTCCATTCTGTACATATTGCCACAGTATACCAGACCATAATATCTGCATAGTATATTTGTCAAATAGCATATGTTGACATGCCATCCATAATTCAATTACAAACCCATCAAACCTAAAGAAAACCAGCCAAACAGTGGAAGCCAGTGGCTTTATGTTAATCTCCGAATACACACTTGTATGGCAGCAGCGTGTGTGACTTCTGAAGTGCTGTCGCTAATCTCAGAACAAAAGAATATTGTCTATAATAATATTCACTTTCTCTTACCATCGGTGCTAAAGCTACAATGTTTGCATGGTGGAATTAGATGCTACTACCTCTTGCACAGCTTCTCCTGCCTACAAAAAGATAACTCTCAGAGCTACAACTCCCACACTTTAGTCAAGGCAAAGCTTTCTCCAAGAAAGCCACAAACCTAGTTTTCAAACTCATGTCAGAGGTTTAGTGTTAAAGGCTTTTTTTTCAAGAACCTTGCCTGAAAGACTATTATTTTTTATCTTCTCAGTTCAGGGAGCACATTATGAAGAGTCAGTGAAAGTACAAGATGACTTATAATGAAACTACAACCCATGACTAATACCCACAGGCTGCAAAACTTTTAAAGGCCCTTCCATGCTAAGGTAAAATAGCTTCATTGGTCACAAACCCACAGTTTTTAGCCAAGCACATGTTTCAGGCCTATCTTAGCATAAATGATGGATTAAGTTTTTACGCTTACTGGCACAAGGAACAATAGAGGAACACTGCTTACATGTTTCATCTGCATGTTTGAACAAGGTTGTCCATGAATGTCAAACACACATTATATATTAAAATAATTCTATTTTACCCTGTAAAAAAAAACAAACTTGTAGAGCAGTCAGAGAATTTGTGTGTGCACTGGTAGACATATTTATATGGAAAGAATAAATATTTCTTAATTAAAAACATCTGAAGCCAAAATTGTTATAATCCTGTCAGACAAAAAAAACCCCACCAGGTTTCCTGTAGCCCTCATGAGTCTATTAAATGTATTCTTTCTTCCTATGTTAGTTTTTATGTGCAGTAGCATATCTTGATTTCCTTTGCTTAAATAACTGCACAACAAAGAACTGCACAATTTTCATGTGTAATTCTTACATGCAACAGTTATATGTAACCAATCAGCCAAAACATTATGACCACCTGCCTAACACTGTGTACACAGGAGTCAGTGAAGCAGTTGGTTGGCACTCGTGTCTCTCTGCAGCTCACTGTGCATCTTCTGTGAATCTGTCTGCTTCCAAAGTTCTACTGTCAGGAAGAGCACAGATGTGTCGACCATTCAGTGAAAATCTTATGTAAATGGAGTGAAAACTGTGGTCATGAGGACAAGTTAGAGGTAATGTTTTGGATGCTTTCAGCAGCTTTGCAACTCTAGATGTTATATCAGTGCTATAGCCGCTGAATGTTTCTCTTCATAGAGACCAATGTACAGTTTTTCTCATTTTTAACAAAGAATTAAAAAAAAAGGGAATCTGTTGAAAAGGATGAATGATATTTAAAAGTTTAATCTACATTAGATCAACCTCATCATCAGTGAGCCTTGGGCATCCATGACCCTGTCGCTGGTTCATTGTTTGTCCTTCCTTAGACACTGTTGGTAGGTACTAACCACTGCAGACCAGGAACACATAAGACCTGCAGCGTGGGAGATGCTCTGACTCATTCAACAGCCTCTACAGTTTGACCCTTGTCAAAGTCACTCAGATCCTTACACTTGCCTGTTTTTCCTGCTTCCAACACATCAATTTCAAGGACTGAATGTCCACTTGCTGCCTAATATATGCACCCACATTGACAGGTGCCACTGTAACGAGGTAATCAGTGTTTTTCAATTCATTTGCCAGTGGTTATAATGTTATGGCTGATCAGTGTACATGGCTTTGTAATGTCATCTGTTTAATGTCCTTGTTTTCCTTAGCCCAACATGTCCATTTCCCTTCTAAAATCAACAAACTCATATTATCTACTTTTGTCACATTCAGCTCATTACAGTTTTTAGCTGTAGACTGCTTTTCTACAGTACAGTAAATATTTGAATTTTCCTTACCCATGCCACAGCCATGATGCCCAGAGCAAACAGGCTGGGTCCCAGCAGGTTCCACAGGCCATGACGGTCTAGTTGCAAAGCCATAGAAAGAGACATCGCCCCCAGCAGATACAGCACCTTGATAAAAACCATGTGGATCAGTAACAGCCCTCCATAAGCACTGTCAACATTACTACATCTCCAGTAAATTATGGGATGTGAGAATGGTCAAGAAAAGGATATCTCTACTTAAAGATAAAGACCGGTGTTTAAATTGTTTTCTAACACATGCTCTAAAAATGGCAACAAAAGCTTTGCAGTTTCATCATAAATCTGTTAGTAATGACCGATGCTCACCAAACCATCAGGAGATGATATGTAGCTCATGTAGATGGTCTATAGTTTCTGCTGTAATCTAGCTACAGTAGCAAGCAAATTTAGAAACCCATATTAATGATTAGGACAGGCACCAACACCAACAATGAATCAATTCTGTTAACATCTGTTCTTCAGCCTGCATGTCCTTGGGCAAGACACTAAACCCCAAGTCGCTCCTGTTGGACCCTGCCATCTGTGAACGTTTGGGGTGAATGGGCAAAGCGCTTTGAGTGCACCTAAGTGTGCAGAAAAACGCTATAGTTCAAGTTATGTTACATTATGCAAATGTGCCATTGGTTTAATTTATCAGTGGGAACATGGTCAACACAGAAAACAGTCCAATCAGTTTTGTTGAAGTCAAAATTTGTATTTCAAAGTGCTGTGCAGAGCAATACATGAACTGAATTTTGTCTATGTAAGAGAGAGCCTCAGTATAACAAAATGCTATTCCAGGCTATAAATAATACCAGTTTAACTTTTTTTTTTTTGCCAAGCTCACAATTTGACATAAAGCCAAGGGATATAAAAGAGATAAAGTGAGAGAAAAAATCAATAAGCTCTGCTACACATGCTTTAGGAGAACTTAAGCCTGTCCAGGACACCTG